GAAAGGAGGGAATCCAGGAGACATTTTTCTCTTTCCGCTTGGGTGGACCAGCAGGAAGCTGGGTTTCCCTTCCTGCCTCTCTCCTTGTTTATGCACACCTAATGCATATAATCCCAATTCTCCCCCCCCCTCCCTTTAGATGCTTTCTTTCTACATTCCCAGCCCTGAGAAGCTGCCAGCATCTTGGGAGGGGTTAGGGTTTTGTGATGATGGCTGGAAAAGTGCCCTCGGTAAAGGTGGTCTTCATCAAAGGCATAGAGGGAGGGGGGCAAAGGCGCCCGGCTGTCTTGCGCTGGCACTATCATCCGTGTGTGCCATTGCTTTGGCTGAGCTCCATGAAGTGGGAGGCAAAGCAGGGGCCCTGCCTGCAGAAAGGACGGGTGTATGGAGCCAGAGGTTGGAAGTTCAAATCCGCCCCCCCCAGGCCTCCCTGACAGGGCTGGCCTCAGAGATCCGTTGGGTCCCTTCCGGCTCTGCAGTCCTCAGATTATAGATTATTATTATTATTGTTTTGTGGGTGAGAGGGGACGAACAGAAGACCCCCCCTCCCCAAACCTTGCCCGGCCCTTGAGGCTTTCTCAGTGGGCAGGCATGGTCGTGATCCTCCACTCACCCATCCCTGTTCAGGGCCGGCACAACCATTAGGCAGAGCGTCGTGGCCACCTCAGGAGTCAGGTTTGTGGGAAGCAAACAGCTTGATATTTTACCGGGTGACACGTTTCTGCTGCTAATGAGTAGAAGTGCTGTCCGGATCCAGTCGCATGCCTGGCACTGGGTATTACACGCCTTGTCTTTTTATGGGGGGCTGGGGAAACCTTTCACCTCAGGCAGCGAAAGATCTGGGGTCTTCCCTGCTCCTGGCAAATAGGAATGGAGCACCTGCAGCTGGTTTTCTAGACCTCTGTGTGTGGGGTGTGTGTGTGTAGGTGTGTGTGATGCACCCTATTTGCATAATTAGTTTCAGGGATTTCCTAGGCCTGAATGGCGACGTGTGTTGGACACGGTGCCCATTTTAAAAAGAAGATTAATTTTCCAGACGGACGCCTTGGCCAGGTGGTGGGTTGGCTTGCACCAACCTTAAGAGGACCAAATAGTTGCCTGCCCCGAGACGCTTACAGTGACTCAGGAGTGGCCCTGGGAGGCCAAGCGAAGGAAGAACAGAAAAAGAGGCAGAGCAGGTGGAGCTGCCTTTAAGCTGGAAAGCCTGTACCCAAGCTTATGGCTTACACGGAGGTAGGGCACTGTTTGCTAGAAACCTTGGACACAGAGGCCAACTTAGTAGCAAGAAGTAATCTAGTGTGACAATTCGGTTGAAAGCCTAGGTGGCTGTTTACAGTAGCAGTGTTTAGGAAATTACAGGGTATTTAATCATAACACAGTTGCCCTCCCTCGGCTAAGTGAATGAAGAGATCCAGTGGAAAAAGCTACCTTCATCCTGATTCTGACCTACGTGGATTGAATCAAACTTCACCATCAGTTTTAATTCTTGATCTTCACATTGGAGTCAACGTTTGCAATTCCTTGGTTAGAGAATGCCAAGTTTGAAGTTGACCAGAGGGATGTTTATGGGGGAAATGACACGTTCCTTCTTGGTTCTTTCTGGCTTTCAACGTTGAGACTTTTGTTCTTTTCTGCGACGGCTGGCCCGTGTGGTCGTGGGCCAAATAGCCATGTTGGTGGTGACTTTGTCAAATGATGGGATAGTTCGTGTGATGTCGGAGGCAAGAGGACATGCCTCGGGCCTGGTGGCTGGCGTGGCCACTGCCTTGGTGAGCAGTAGCATTGGCATCGTTCATACAGGGACAGGGGAAGGCTGTTGACCACCAACCCAACGATGCTGAGGCCAGGCCTTACCTGGGGGACCTGCCCTTACCATCCAGATGACTTCCAAACCTCTGGGATTCCAAGCTGGAAAGGTACGTCCCAGGTGTAGCCTTGCTCCGTTTCCTGACAGTCTGTGGGGCAGGACGCCAGGATCCTAAACGTGTAGGCTTGGTGATTCACTGGTGAAAAGAGTACACTTTCCACGTGGACTCAAAGGGGTTCCTGAAATTAAGGGAGGAAAGTATGGATGTTTTTTTTTCTAAGTAGCTGGAGTGGGCAGCTGCTCGGTTGACTTTTGCTGGAGAGATCAAGAGATCAAGGAGGACTGAGCACAGATTCGGTTGACTTTTGCTGGAGAGATCAAGAGTGGCCCGTGGAAAAGGAGGGCTGGACACAGAGAAGTTGCATTTTTAGACCCAGGTTGGCCAGTGTGCTCTGGAATTTTGGTGCAGAAAAATGGGTTTTTCCAAGCTGAGCAGTGAATGCCAATCACCTCCTTCTTTAGCCTTAAGCATCTCAGTAATCTTCACGTCCACAATTTTCTTCTAGAAAAGGCCCGAAGGCAAAGGAGCATCCACAAGATTCTCAAAAAGGAAGAACTGTTCTTTTAGGAGCTTTCGCACTTACTCATTTATGTACTAAGAAGGCTAAAACGGGAAAGCGGGGCAGGAGGGGGAGAGACTTCCCACTTTCTAAATGGTGTCTAAAAGAAGAAGTGGTGCTTCTAAGCTATGGGGGTGGGTCTCGCAGGGCCTGGAGAAGGTTCTTCTTTTACACCACAACTCCCATCATGCTGCCTGGGGATTTTTGGAAAGGGAGTTTTTTTTTAAAGCAATGCTTCTGAGGTCTGTTTTAAGCCTCCTCTTTTCTTTAGAATGACACGGAGATTTAAAAAGAGGAAGTTTTTTTCCCCCTTGCTGTGAAGGCAACTATTGAAAGTTGAAATAAAACCCTGCAAACAGTCTGAACTTTGGGTTTCATCACCTCCGTGATGCTTGAACGCACAGGTGCGTTGTTTTATTGCCCTTTTGTTGATTGGCTTGGATTTATAGCCGTTTTCTGGAGAAATGCATAAAAAATGAACAAGAACCCACAAATTATTGCTACTCTAGCAGACCTGCATCCGGTGGCGGAAGTACATTTTGGGGGGGCCTGGATGGTTGAACTGCTTTTTTTAGGGGTGGGGGGCATTTGCAAGCAGCAACATTGTCTTTTTCCATGGGGTTGTTCCACAACAGATCACCATTTTTTTAAAAAAAAAGTGGACTCAAGTCGCTTCTGGGGGCCCCTCCAGGAGTACAGCCCCCGAAATGTTATTCGTTTGATAATAAATCTGCCTCCGTCATTTGTGGTCACTTCTAATACAATATTTGTTTAAGTCTTTTGAAATATGTGTACACGTACTGTTTTTAGCTTTAGATCTTGCCTTTTAATGATGCTATAAGTTACCTCGGGTTCCTTTGAAGGAGAAAGATGGGGTGAAATCTTTTAAAGAAATAAAATAAATAAAAGCTCCCTGCACTCGCTTCCTCAGTAACGACTGGCTGCTTGTAGCAATACAAGAGCAGGAAAGGGGAAGAACTAGGGTACAATATAAAGGGAACAGAAACGCACCGAAGTTCCTAATGCTCCCAAGGGTTCCTCTCCTGTCCTGTATTTTTGTCATGGAGGACAGGTGTCCTCAAAGAGATGGGCTGGCTTGCTGCCTGCACCGTCTGTTTGACACAAACCAGCAGCCCTACTGCTTTGAGAGACAAGACGCTTAGATAAAGCCACCGCTTCCCTCTGGTTGCTTGGCAAGGCCCATGGGGCCGTTCTTGGTGGTGGCGTCTGCTCCTCCTTCCTCTCCTGCCAGAGGTAGGCCAGACTGACCTCCCAGTTCCCTTCCAGCAGCGGTCATGTTTGGCCCCTGCTTTGTGGCCCTTCCCCGGTGCAGTTGGAATGTTCCTGAACGTTCCGTGGCACCGCGGCCGTTCTGTCAACAGCAGTCCCTGAGCTGGCAAGACAGTTTCTCTTGGGCAGAGCGAGCGGATGCTTTTAAAGCGCGGCATAATCGTTTTATTGTAATGAGAGCGGACAGGTCCGCCGATGACAAGAAGCGCTTTCATTTCCTCCTGCTCTTGACTTGCATTTCTTTTCTGTTTTAAATAGCACGGAGTCTGCCGTGTGTCAGGCATATTTGTGTTCAGAACAAGATGTTTCTTAGGGAGTGGGTTTGGACCGTGAACAGACGGGTGACAAAAGTGGGCAAATGCAGATGTGTTAATTTTTTCCCCCCACATTGCATATTTTTGCAGGTGAACAACAAGATGTTTCTTAGGGAGTGGGTTTGGACTGCGAACAGACGGGTGACAAAACTGGGCAAATGCAGATGGGTTAATTTTTTCCCCACACATTGCATATATTTTTTTTGCAGGTGAACAGGGATCTGTGGAATTAAATGACGTTTCCCACCTGCATCCAGGCAGTTTATCCTTCCTTCTTAGTGCCTTAAATCTTGTTGTACAAACCGAATTCTGCTGAGCTGAGGCTTTAAAGCTCCGTGGGAGGCTCGTTGTTTCGACGGTCTTTGAATAGCTGTGGAGCGTGGGGTTGTTTTTTCTAATGTGTCGCTTTAAACATTAACTATGGGATTTAGGATATGAAAAATTTGATTTTATCATGTCGTCAAACGTGTGCTTCTCCTCAAACGTTCTCATGCAGCTGAGTTTGAATCTCCAACCGGGGCCCTCGGGGTGGCCTTCGGATCTTGTAAATGAAAGGGGAGCGCTGAGGTCCCGTCTGGCTGGCTGGCTTGTTTCTTGCTGGGATGGGAGTTGTGTCATGTCCGGTGGCCATTTCATCTCAGTCTCAAGCTGACAAGAGGGTGTTAGCCAGACGCCCTTTGAGGCCCGTCTCCGAAACGGCCTACCTCACTGGGCTGTTGTAACGGCTATAAAACAGACTTTGCGGGGCCGGCTTGGCATCCCGCCAGAGCCGCGGGAAAAGCTTTGAACAGGCGGGAATGTACACTCTCAAATTGCAGCAAGAATTCCCAGGGGATGAACCAGCATCCATGCTCAAAACACGTCGCCCTTCTCTTTTGATCTGATGAGTTTTCTAGCACTTTTGCCCAGCTGTTTGTTTGTCCGTCTGTCCCTCCCTCCCTCAGCATCTTCCTTCCATCCATCAGCAGCTCCTTCCTTCCCTCCTCTCTCTCTCTCACGTCACCCTCCAGAAACCACAGTCGTAACAAGGACACACCTTTGAAGACAGAAACAAGCCCTTCCATTTCTTTCCAGCCAAACCAAGCGGAGGGTTGGGGAGCGAGGAATGGATGCTCTGGCCTTCTGGGCCGCTGAGACCGCCAGGCATTCCTGGCCCTTTTGACGATTCTCTTCTACACATGCAGAATTCAGGAGGCAGAATCGCTTTTGCAAAACAGTTGCCTGTGCGTATCCATTTCCCAAGAGGCGCTTTCAAGGGCATCCACGTGGCTGACTTAGCGTGATGCCGATTTCGGCATGGGCTACGCTTTTTTGGGGGGGGGGCTGGCACAGTCGTCCAGAAAGTGCCTTTTCCCCATGGCTGATTTCTGACTTGTTGCCATCGTCCAGCGGAGAGGCCGTTTCCTTCCTCTTGCCATCTGTGGAAGGCCTCTTCTCCCGCTCCCCTCTTTTATTACACGAAGCCCTGCAGCAGGTCTTTCTCTCAGCCCCCCTCTTTGTTGCTGTCTGCACCATTATTAGAACATTCTCATTTCTTCTGCACAATGTGGACTAGAATCTTCACTCATTCTTACTACGGATTGAGAATATAAGCTACCTGAGCCATCTGGGCAGTTCACCACAAAAGGAACAAACATGAAATCATAGTGACATAAACACAACAACTACTCAAAATCAAATAAGCAAACTAAAAGAAGCGGCAACATAAAACGATTAAGCAAGAAAGCGGAATTGCCGACTTCAGTGCTGAGTTGACCACTGCATTCTACGAGTGGTCAACTCGTAAAGATGTAAAGTCTGCACAGGCCTGGCTATATAACCATGTTTTATGATATAAATTATATGTGTGGTTTATCTGTCTCCGTTTTAGGCTTATCTCCTTTGCCCAGGCATAGATAACCCCACATTGCCAAGTGGAGTAATGGTATGAGATTCCACCCCTTTCTAATTCTTGACACCTTGGGAGCTGTTTCTCCGGCTCTGGTGCTGGAGAAACTTTTTTGGGAGACACTGGAGACGGTGTCTCCCAAAATATGGAAACCCTTGGTGAGAAAGAGGGTCTCCTCGTTGACGAGGGTTCTTCCTCTCGCCCGCTCCTTTCAGATCTTTGCCATCGTCGTGTTCGGTTCCATCATCAACGAAGGTTATGTCAACACGGACAAGTCCCCCATGTTGCGGTGCATCTACAACGCCCACGAGGGAGCTTGCAACTACGGCATCGCCATCGGCCTGATCGCCTTCCTGGCCTGCAGCTTCTTCCTGGTGGTGGACCTCTACTTCCAGCAGATCAGCAGCGTGAAAGACAGGAAGCGCGTGGTTCTTCTGGACCTGGGTTTCTCAGGTAGGTCCCGGATGTCAGGGCAGAAAGAGGGGTTGATTTCTAGGGGACCCTGGAGCAGCGGCCACATCACTGGAAGCGTGGATGCGAAAGCAGCTTTTTTCCCCCCAAGTGTCAGACACAGGCGATTCAAAGACAGGGAGAGGTGGATGAACCAGGACAAGGTGAGGTTGTTCCTCTTGCTCCCATTTAGAGCAAGACGGGAAGGGAATTAAAAGATGTTAGGCCAGGTAGGAGGAAGGGCGGGAGAGGTTAAGCACTGGAACCGCTTGCCCCGAGGGCCCAGAGGAACTCTAAATTTTGGCAATAAATGAGATGCATCTTCTGTGGGATTCACATGGGTAGGCTTCGAGCACGGGTGGTCTCCCATCCAACCACAAACCAGGCCTGACCCTGCTGAACTTCCAAAATTAGGGGAGAACAAGCATCTCCAGGGTTGGGTAGTGTTGCATGGAATGCTCATACCTCCTCCACCAAACAAGGAGGGGATCCTCTTTCCACACCTTTTGACCTTGATCTTTCAAAGGCTGGTCTCCTGCTGGTGCCAGGATTCCTCTCGGCCACCTCTGCTTCGTCTCTTTTCAGCTCTTGGGCGCCGAGCCCACTAAGAGGCTGCTTCGTCCTCCCGGAACGAGTCAATTCAATTAGGCTGCTAACCTGCCTCCCGATTAAGGTCACTGGAGAGGTTGCTTCCTGCATCCTTGTTACACCTGAGCCAGAGTGAACCTTTGCTCAGCACAAGACTTCCCTGGGATCTTTCTGCTTCGGTGTCCCTTTCAAATTTATGTTGCTAAAATTGCTCAAATTTTCATGGGGAATAGCAAGGAAAGCTGAAGTAGGAAGTGCCCTTCCTGGAATATATTAGAAAAACAAGGGCATTAATGGGATCTCCTGGCCAGTGACATGATTTCCTTGCTGCCATTAATTTTTAAATAAGCTTAAGTGCTGGAAGCCCGTCTGTGACCGAGTCATTTTGCTCCAGTCAAACAGGGCTGGGCGAGGTCAGTCGGCGCTGGCGAAGTGTGTCTTGAGGCTCCGGGAAGAAACGTAAATTAACGCACCGTGCATTTCTTTGGCATCTGCCTCGGTGTGTGCGGCACCGTCCAGTGTAACAGTGGCAGTGGGAGTAGGGAGAGATCCCCACCCTGGGGAACCTACACTAGAGGTATTCCGATCCAGAATTTTTGGATCACGACACCCAGAATTCTCTTCACATCATGCAGCTTCATCAAAGGAAGAAAGTTCATTAGGAGAGAAAAATAGAAGATGGGCAGCTTCAGGGAGGAAATCATTGCTGTGGGGGTGGGGGTGTCTCTGTCTTCACACTGGTTGACATGATCCATGGAGAGAACCGTATTTCCTTCAGGGACCACCTCAAGGAAAAGCCACCTAAATGGCCACGTGCCAAGCTATAAAGCAATGTTGGAAGGCAACTCCATGTCTTTTGCTCAATAAGGCAGCTTTGCTTCCAAGCGTGAAGCTGCTCATGCTGCCTGTTTCTGCTCTCCATGTAATGCAACACCATGTGGTGGATACCCAGGGAAAGGCTTTCCATCGCTGAATGTTTAGTTTGATGCAATGTGTGAAGTGCAGTGGGTGTCGACAAAGCCGCATTTCAGGGTTGCCTCCACTTTGGTCCAGTGTTTGTTTTGAAATGCTCTTCAGCTTTGTTTTGCTTTTGTCCTTCCAAGAACACCGGAAAGCCAGGTGGTGGTCTATACACCTTAAGCCAGCCTTGTTCTCCCTCCTGTCATCCTCTGAGTTAGGCTGAAGGATCAGCATCTCTGGTGGAAAGGTAGTTCTAGCAGCTGTGAGACTCCAAGAGGACATTCTGATAGTTTACAAAAGTGAGGCAATAGGAAGCGGCTATAAACCCCCTCAGATCCGTCTCAGTTTTGGTTCACTCAAACTGACCAGAGACCTCCAGTGATTTCAGGAGGGAGAGAGAGTTTTCTTCTCATCACCAACTGCTACCGGGTCCTCAAAGTTTGAAAACATGACTCGGTTTGGACTACAAACTCCCCGCAGAGGTGGCTGAGGGATTCTGGGTTTTGTAGTCCAGAACAGATAATGCTCCCCTGTTTTGCCGGTCCTTCAACGTATGAACCTGTTAGGGCTCCCGAACCTTTCAGCAAGGCACACTTGAAGGCGATGCCGTTCCCTATTTCGATGGGAGGGAAAGGTGGTTTTCTGCGGGTGGTGGGCCAATCCTGCCCCTCCAGTTTGGGAAAGGGGGGTTCTGCGGGCTGTAAGATCCCAGGAATCGCCAACCGGTTCCCCCTTCCCAAAAAAAGAAGAAGTATTTTTTTCCCTTGTCTGGTGCCGGTTACGAGGCTGCAGTTATCCTCCTGTGCCGAAAACTGTTTGCAGTTAAAGGCAAAAAGAGAATATTAAATCTGAAGGGCCTCGTTGAGGAGGGAGCCGACAAGGAAACCGTTGGCGATCCAAGGGGCCAAAGGAGAGGCGTGTGGCCCCGGATGGTCCAGCGACCGATGCCCGGGCTGGGCTCAATCCGCCTCAGGAATCTTGAGGCCATTCAAGGCTCCTCTCCTTTCCAGGATTCTGGTCCTTCCTGTGGTTCGTAGCTTTCTGCTTCCTCGCCGACCAGTGGCGGAGGACACCGGCCAGCCGGGAAGCCTCGCAAGGAGGGGATGCTGCCAGGGCCGCCGTGGCCTTCTCCTTCTTCTCCATCATCTCCTGGGTAGGTGTGGGGCGCCCGGCCTCGCGGTGGGGATTCTAGATTTTAATAATAAAAACAGGAATTCTTCCGAATGCTCTGCTGTGGAATCGCACTTCCCCTGGGAGCAATTTTAAGGTGCTTGGGTGGTATTTGTTGAACCGCCCGGAATAGGGCCTTTGCACAAAAAAATAGGGCGGTGTAGAAACAAAACGAAATGAAAAAATAAATTGCAGCAGGGCAATGATCTTGGTAGGCCCTCGGCCCCGGTCTCTGAAGCTCTCCAGTATCTGGGACTCCCGGTTACTGATGAGAGGAACCGACACATCCAAGAGAAAAGGCCCATGGGAATACCAAAACTCTGCTGGATGGGGGATGAGGGAAGGTGTAGTCCAAAAAAAGCAACATTTCTGAGTTCTGGGGGATACTCGGGTATCTGCGGGAGGTTGGTACCAAGCCCCCCACCCCAAGAATGCCAAAAAAATACAGACATATTGAATGCTGTAAATTTGCATGGTCTGTGTTCCCCTCTCATGGCTAGCTCTGGAAAGTATACCCTGGAAATACATCTAAATTTATTTTATTTATTCGATTTTTACCCCGCCCTTCTAGACATCGTCTACTCGTGTATTTCTGGGTTTTTTCATTTAGTATTTTTAGGCAGCGTATAAATGAATCCACAGATACCGATCCCGTGGATAAGGGGTTCCTAATGTACCGTATTTTTCACTCCATAAGACGCACCTTTCCATAAGACGCACCAATTTTTAGGAGAAGAAAACAGGAAAATATAATCTGTTTTCTTCGCTCCATAAGACACACAGACTTTCCACCCCCGTTTTGTGGGAAAAAAGTGCATCTTATGGTGCGAAAAATACGGTATATCAGCTTTTTGAAGGAGAGGCGAACAGTGGGAGGGAGCCGTGGCCTTCCCATTTCGCTTCTGTGCTTCCAGAAAGCATCTGGACGGTCACAGGTGAGGAGCAGAAAGCAGTCCAGGTGGCCGTTCTCGGTTTGCTTGCCGAGTCGGTCGGATTGAGCTGCCAGCCTCCTTCCTTCCCGCTACGAGGGCGAGAACGTGCCGAAATCTTTCTTCTCCGTTCCAGGTCGCCCTGGCGCTCAAGGCCTTCCAAAGATACCGCCTGGGGACGGACATGTCTCTCTTTGCCACGGATCAATTTCCTCCTGACCCCAACGCTGGGTACCCGGGCTACCCCACGGGCAGCGGCGTCGAGAGCACGGAGACCTACCAGAGCCCGCCCTTCTCCGAGACCTTGGATACCAGTCCGAAAGGGTACCAGGTGCCGGCGTATTGAAGGGGGCGAGAGGCCTCCCCGTGCGGTTGCACAGCCGAGGGGAACCAGACCCAGAGAAAAGGGCCCACGACCCTTCTGTGGTGCAGTATAGTCCGCTGGTTGGTTGCAAGTGTATTCCAAGTAACTTTTTCATTTTTTTTCTTAATGTGGCAAGTTATGTGCCTGGGTTAAACTTGCTCTTAGCTAATGGTGCAGTGAATCCTGTACAGTGATATTGGTTCTTGTCTTACCTGTCCAAGAATCCTTTCTCTTTTTTAAAGACGAAAAGCAACAGTGTTCCCTCTAAGCATGAAATTCTAGGACGGCTGCTACGCCCATCGTGTGAGCCTGCCCCCCCCGTCGCTCATTTTGCTAAAAGCGGACGGTTAGACCGGCCCGTTAGAGACACCTACTCTGATCCCGCCCCATCCCGTTAAAAAGTCGATGCTTTATCTTGTCTTCCAGAGATACGAGGGACCGTTCACGGCACCCTCCTTCCGTTTTCCTGTTTCTCTCTTTCTTTTACTTGACAGCTGTAGAAAATGTCGTTTCCAAAGTGTGCCAAATGGAAAGCCAAAAATAATCATTAGAAGGTGTCTTCCTGCCCCCCAACCCCTTGATGTGCACACCGATTATGTATAAGACCTGTCCTACACGAGTCAACACTGGCAACGCACACCACAGCGTTGCCATTCTAGTTCTGCCCGGGGGGGATTTTTCAGACGCGCTTGGCGTTGAAACGTTATTTGTTCTTCCTTTTAACGAAATGGCTCCTGTCAATAAAAAAAATAATAAAAGAGTCAAACCGGTTCCACAGCCAGAAAGGTAACCAAGAGAAGCTTCTGAAAGGTCATAAATGTAGCATTTAGGTAGCCCAGGGGTTATGCAGAAGTAGGGCTGAGCCGCTTGTAACCCCCTAGGTATATCTTCCAGTTTGATGAAACCCAGCCTATGGGTGCCTCAGTTTCCTTCATGGAAGGAAGAAACCATCCAGGTGGGTGTGAGAAGGAAAAGGGAAGGAAAGGGGGCTTCTTTTAGGGGAAAAACTGTTGATGCAACAGCTTGTGGGGAGAGGCATCATTGTCTACTTGTTTTCTATAAGACTGGCTTCCTCAAAATGGTACCCAACCAGTTGGAAACCAATAATGCCTTTAACTAGTGCACAGCCTCCCCCCACCCTCATCAGTGGTGCCAAAATATGCCTCTGGTGACCCCGTTCATGTCCCCCCCCCCCGTGCAGAGACGTGACGGCTTCTCTGTCTTTTTAATTTGCCCATGTTTGAAACGCACAGCGATCTCACAGCGGCACAACATGCCCTCCGTTATTGGGGAAACGACCCTTTCTCGTTCGGCAAAGGAGGTTGAGGCCAACGTTTCCTTGCAGGAGACGTTTAGGAAGGAGAAAACCTGCAAGTCTCCGGCGTGAGGGTTCAGGAGAGGACGAGACCAGGCAGGACTGAAATAGTAATAAGGGGAGTGGATGGAGAGGGGTAAACCCGACAAGGGGATATTTCTGCTGCCGGTAAACTAACTTTAAACCTTCACGGCAACCTCATTCTTTGTAAGAACCTAATAAGGGGAATGGATCTTAGACATTTCACTAGAGATTAGGTCCGATAAGCAAGGCCCGAGGACTCAAGCAACCCTCGGTCCCGATTCGCACCCTATTTGCGCGAGCAAATCATGAATGCAAGCAAATCGGTATTGCGGCCGAACAGCCGCGCTGGGTCTTCAACCCAGGTAGACGAAGATTTTTTTTAAATACAGGGTACGAGCAGAACTGTAGCAATATTTTCCTTAGAGAGAACACTGCCATATTAGCTGCAGACAAAAGTGTGATTAACTATTTGGGGTGGGGTGGGGTGGGGGGAGGGACTGAAGACTATAATACACTTAAATGTTTCTTTAAATCAACTGTATATGTGGAATAAATGTCTGTTCAGTACAATGTATTTTTTCTAACTATAAAGAAATCCATTCCAGAATATTACCTGTAGAAAGGGGTGGGCAGGTGGGAGGGAGGGTAGGTGGGGGGAAAAGGAGGGAAGGAGCAATTATCTGTCTGACCGGTAGAACTGTCTTGGGCAGCCGTGTTTCATGTGCTATATATTACAATTTTGAATGTATGCACCCAACGCCTACACCTCTCTTTTCTTCCTTTTTTTGTAATTCATTCCCAACGCGCTCGAGCTGAAGGGTATTCCTGAAGGAGGGCCTTCCAGCAAGGCACGGCTGAACTATCTCCCCGGCTCTTGGCCGAGAATGCAAAAGGGCAGCCCTGCTCCAGAGGCGGTGAGGATTACACCTCCCACCAGCCTCAAACCGGCACAGCCAGGGGTGAGGAATGCTGGGGGCTGTGGTCCAACCAAAGGTCTAGAGCCATGGTTCCCAACCTTGGGACGTTCTTGGACTAAAACTCCCAGAAGCCTTCATTACGAGCCGCGTTGGCCAGGATTTCTGGACGTTGTGGTCCAAAAACATCTGGGAACACCCAGGGTTGGTCTAGAGGGTGGCCTTCCACTCACCTTGGCTCAAGGAGACGTTCTCCTGCAGAGAAAGGAAAAAAGGAGCAGCCCAAGAAAGATGCCAGGGTTGCGCAATGATGCCCATCCCTTGTCCACCCCTGACGACCCTCAGCTCTTGAGGTTCCCCCCCACCTCTTTCCTGAACATGAGACATCCAGGGATCGCTTATTGCAGAACCCCCCCCAATGGCTCCCCTGCTGAATCCCCCACCTCAAAACACACAACAAAGTGTTTCCCCTGATCCTGGAACATTTAGGCATTTATTTATTTAACAAAACCTGCCTCCGCCACCAAAAAAAAACAGAACAGAAACTCCTTCCCAAAACAGAGGGTTCAGGCCATTCGCTTCCAAATTTGGGGAGAAACCTTCAGAACACGGCCAAACTGCCCAAAACAGAGGGTTCAGGCCATTCGCTTCCTATTTTGGGGGAAAAACCTTCAGAACACGACCCGAAAGAAACCCACAACCACCATCAGATCCCGGCCGCGAAAGCCTTCGAGAAGACAAATCTTTGATTTGTTTGAAAGACCGGTTGATTCTAGACTGAAAGGCTGACGCGAGCGCAGAAGGGCTCTTCTGCCCAGAAAGAGGGCTGCCTGCCGCATCTCTGAATGAGTCCCACGAGGGGCCTTTTCCAAGCAGCCTCTGCTGGGGAGGGTCTCCCGAGTCATCACTCCAAACCTGAGAGCGTTAACCATTAGGCAGCTCTCTCTCTTTCTCTCTCTCTCATTCTGGATCTCTGCCTCAGCACTAGGCTGGATTGGGCTCCATTCCCTGAGGAAGGATGATGTATCTGGGGAAGGAGCCCCTGCTGATGCCCCCCCACCTGCCTTCTCACCAAACCCAGCTGAATGCAAGAGTGAAATACTTCCTTAAAATTAGCCGAGGGAAAAACCCCTTGCAGATACCATGGTTCTGCAAAGTGGCATTCTCATCGCTTTCCAGGGCAGTGTCACTTCTTGGCCAGAGAGAAAAAAAAGGACCACCACTTTCTTCTCTGCCTGAAAACCATCCTTCAACATCACTGCGCCAACTTTGGGCAGAGTGTCCACCCCCCTCCCCCGGCGCAAAGAGGAAGACAGGCAGTTCCTTATAAGCCCCGTTTGATTATTTCAAGGGAGAAAAGGAAAGAGAGAGAGAGAAAAAGGATCAAGGAAACATCAGAAGAAGCCGTAAGGAGGAAGGAGGAGGTTCCTGTTGGGGTCTTGAGGGCCAAGCATCGTATTTTAACCGTTGCCTAGTTTCTGGCCCTTCCTGGGGCCAAGACCAGCAGCCCCCTCCTCTCAAAACGGGCAGACGATGGCACCAGCAACGGGGCAGGGGGCAGGGAGGCCCTCGGAGAGATGTCGAGAGGCCGTCTGGACCCGAGGGAGGACTCCGAGTCATTTTAGGGAAGATAGAGCCTTCACTTGGCCTACAAGAATGACCGGGAAAGGCACCAAGTTGAGGTTTGGCTCTTGAGTAGCCAGGAAAGGTCCCACCCAGTCTTTTGCCAATCTGGCCACAGCGGCTTGGGGCGGCTAAGGAACGCGGAGATCCGCTCAAAGATCTCGCGCAGAACAGTAACAAAGAGCTGGCCATCCATGAGCCCCCCTCTCGCTGATGCCAGCATGAAATAGAAAGGACTTTGCTTTAGATCCATGGGCGCGTGTGCTGGGCTGTGATGGTGTGGCCGTGGTGGCAACCGAGAGCGGTTCCCCTGGCCTGGGCCACGGTGCCGAATTGCACAGAGCCCTGGCCTCCGATCCAAACATGCGCCGGCAGAAGAGAGGCTGATCGCCAGAGCTTCCAAAGAGGCAGGCGCTCGTTCGCTTGCCGACACCAGCCCCCTTCCCGTTCTTGACCACGCTGCTTCATTTCAGCCTCCTGTCTCTCTTTCTCTGGCTACGGCCGATCCGGCACCTTGATACAGGTGTGGGTGTGCATCCTGGCAAGCCGCAGGTGTCTCTGCCACCTAAGAGGCTTCCAAGGGCTGCTCCTCGAACTTTCGGAACAATGTGCCAAACTGCTTAGATTGCACCCACCACAAAGTGTCCCGAGGAGCTGGTGAGGAGCAGCCTAGAAACATCCGGGAGCCCAACCTGCCACAGCGGCCTTGACTCAAAAGGCTCCGCGCCAGGACGGCTGGGTAGCTCAGGGCTTGAAGAGCCAGAGGCTGGGAGTTCGAATCCCCCCCAGGGTGCCTCCTTGACAGGGGCTGGACTGGATGATCCCGAGGGTCCCTTCCAGCTCGGCAGTCTTCAGACTTGACAGGGGCTGGACTGGATGATCCCAGGGGCCCCTTCCAGCTCGACAGTCTTCAGGTGAGGATGATTCTGTGTGTTTGGACTACAGCTTCCAGAATTCCCCAGACCGCTCTGCTTGGTACACTGACCAGGTCAGGCCGGAGAGAAGCCGCTTCATGCCTCCCTCCTCCTGCCCGAAATGTCTAAAAGAGTGGGGGTGGTGAGGTGGGTCAGAGAGAGGAAACTCCGGAAAGGAGTTGGAGGGATGGACTTGCCAGGAGGCCTCTGGCTGGGGCCCCTGGGCAGGGCAGAGAGGAGGGCCCTAGGAACGCTCCCGTCGCCTCCGAGCCATGGGGACCCCTCCCCAAAGATGCTCCAGCCTGGCTTCCGTTTTGGGGCCTCAAATACAGAGCACCTCCCTCCCCAGGAGCAAAAGGAAGGTTGGCAGGCATGCACACCTGCACGCCCAGCCAGGCACCCACCCGGGAGAAGGATGGCGATGGAACCACCTCCAGCAAGGGGACCGCAAAGCGCCCGTTCCTGCGCTGCCACTCCCTTACCTCAAAGCCAGGAGAAGGAAGCTGGCGCGACGGGACCCGAGGCTGCCCCTTCGCCTTCTCAGCTGGGCTCCCCTCCTGGGTAGCAAGTCCTCCCTGCGGTCCGTCCTCCGTCCACCAGGATTCCCCGGGCCCCCTACGCACAGGGCCTCCACGCCAACATCTGCCCAGTCCTTTATGCTGCAGGAGCAAAAACAGGTTAACTTTTCCCCGGTGCCCGTCCTTACATCCCTCCCCTTCCGCCCCTTCCATGCCAAGACAAAGCTTCGTTTGGTCGCCTCTTCCTGCAAGCCGACAGGCAGGGGAGCCGTCTGTCCTGGGTCGGCTTTCGGGTCTCTCCCGGCCCTTCCCTTCCCCAAAAGGCATCTTCTGGAAGAGGGAGAAGGCCCTCCAGCAGGTAGCGGGGAAGGGCCAGGAAGGACCTGGACCACCAAGGGCGTGCCCACCTCCTTCCAGCTGCCTGCGGCTTGATGCCACCCACACGCCCACCTGGCGCGCGTGTGTTTTTTAAAGTAAGATACCAAACATGCAGATACCTCTCTTCGACAGGAGACGGCTACAAAACGGACAAGAAGTAAAAGTTGCGGTTGTTAAGTCATCCAGCGTACACTGTGGTAGAAACGTGGATCGTGTGAAAAATCAGTTCTCAATGTTTACAGTTCTTTTGTATGTAGAAAAGTATAAGCAGATATATATATATATACACACACACACACAAACACACCATTGAGGATGATAAATCGCCAACCTGTGACTGTGTTAACCTTCTGTGTACCGACTGCAACTTATTTTCCAATAAAGATGGCAAAAGGAAAAACCCACCCACTTCTGCTACTATTTTACTGAACCGTGGAAGAGAGAGAGAGAGAGAGAGAGAGAGAGAGAGAGAGAGAGAGATTGAGAGAGAATGACACCCCTGGGAAACGCAAAACGGCAAGTGCGGGCAGGCGAATGGCCTTTGCAACGGCTCAGAATCTCACAATCTAGACTTTTTTCAGGTTTTGAAGCCAAGCACAACAGCAAGGGTTAGGAAGAGTGGCCCAACTTTGCAGGACCTCCCCTGGGCTCCTGGCGGGTTTGCCGAATGGCCTGCGGTTCCTAGTTTGCAAGGACAAATGTTTGCAGATTGAATGAAAAGGGAGAGCTGTGGACAGTGGCCGCCTGGTTTTCTCTCCTGTGTGCTGGTGGTGGTGGTGGTGGCGGGCCCTGGCAGAAGCGAGGGGAGGCAGGAGAGGCATGCCACCGGGCAGTGTCGGTGGTGAGACCCCCACAGACCCAGGGCCAGAGGCAAGGCCCATCGCTTGCCCCCCCACCCCACCCCCCGCTTTCAAGGGAGGAGCTCACGGCTACAGCCATAGAACGAACACACTGCGAGGAAGGTCGGCGTGTCTTCTAGCTTGGCCCACGGCAGAGTAATTGCGGACCAAGTTTCGGGAGTGTTCCTCCCAAGCACTTTGCCACCCACGGACCTGAACACTGACATCCAGAGGGTGACGTGGGTGCAGAAAATGTCCACACGTGCAGCATCCCCCACAGACGCCTTGGCTGAAGGCAAGTCCACAAGACCTCGAGGGACCCCTGCTTTAGAGAAATAGCTTTGTTGGTGGCTGAACAGAGGTGCTCCTTTCAGCCGGGAGAGAATTTCACGCGGCTCAGGGCTCTCCTAGCAGAGCTGCTGAGAAAAGGCTGGAGAGGGGCTCCCGGAGAGACACCACGGCGGCCACGGGTGACTGGATGAGATGGGGGGGGGTGAGAAACACAAGCGCTTTCCACAACTCCCTTCCAGAGAAACCCGCCGGGGACGGAACACGGAGGCACCACATGGCACGGTTAAGGTGGAGCAGCGTTTAATGAGCCAACAACGGGTTCGCCGAAACCGGCACAGATTCTTTTAAAGGCAGCAGAAAGAAACCAAACTTGCATCGTTGGAGTAGAAAGGCAGATTTACACTGAGGAGCAAAAGCACCGAATACGATTTGTTTCCTACATGCATCTCTAACGGACCTCAATCAACAAACTAGGGTCTTCTTTCCAGAACACGTCAGCTGGACAAAGAAACGGGCTGGAAAGCGGCTCTGAATTCTGGGCGCGCGGCCCCCGCCGAAGGGGCCCTGTACCTGCCCACGAAACAGACCGTGCTCCGCACGGAGCGGGGCCGAGGGCAGCTGGGAGAGGGGGTTGAGGAGGACAGAGGGGTCCTCTTGAGCCGCGGCAGGCCGTTTGACCAGCTCTGTCCTCCCCCATCGCCTTCCCCCTCTGGCGACCCACCGGCCTGGACTGCTTCTGAACCTCTTCCCAATGGTTCCTCTGCAGCCCGAGGGCCCCCTTCCTAACCATTTCAAAAACCACCCCCCACCCCCACCCTGCTCCGTTTCCACATCGTGGCCACCAGGCAGCAATTCCTTCTCAAGAGCGATGCCGGTGGTACCCTCAAAACCACACCTCGTGTGTGTGTGTGTGTGAACCTGCAATTTCAGGCGGCCTTGGCTGGCAGGAAGGCGGCCCCTGTCCCGGTCTCCCTGGACCCACAGCCACCACCCTCCGCTGCCGCCACCACTGAACCTGCCGGTGCCTTCCATCGGCGGCCCCCACCCCCCAGCCAGCCAGCTGCGCTCCTCCCGACAGAGAGGCTGCCTCGCCGGGAGTGCCAATTTGAAGACGGAGACAGCTTTTATTGGTCACCCGGAAGGGGGTGGGTGAGGCCCGGCTAGCTGATGATCCGGCTAATGGCCTGCAGAGACGGGAACTCGTCCTCCTCCAGGTGCAAAGCTTTGTGGGCCGCGAGGTCCTGCGGCGTGAGCACCTGCGGGCAGGTGGGGCAGACGCAGCAGTCCAGGCCGGATCCTGACTCCGCCTGCCAGGCGTTCCGCTTGCTCTTCTTCGACTTGCTCAGCGAGGAAGAGGAATCGCCCAGGCTGGCTTTCAAACCGTTGTGAGTGGCCAGCAGTTCCTGCTGTTTGGCCGTGTCCGGCAACAGCACCAGGAGCTCGCTGAAGATCTTCCGGAAGTTATCCCCCAGGAGATCCTGGCAGCTCCGGTAATATTGATCCGCTGAAATCAGACCCTGCCGGGAAGACAAAGATGGGAAGGCCCAGGAGAGTCAGGAAACAGAGAGTGATTGGGGGGGGGAGAGAGAAGGGCCCCCAGGCCTGGCCCTCCCCTCAGAAGGACGCGCCGTGGAAACAGGGAAGCCTCCCAGGGCTGGTCCGCTCCACCCTGCACGGCCCTCCATGAATGAGCCTCAGAAGAGAAAGGGAATGTTGAAGCCCCACGTTCCACCCCAAGAGACGTACACAAAAACGGCGCTCCGGGGCTGTGGGTTGGCTGAGCAGACAGAACCCAGGCATTTCTCATGGAGGATTTGGTATCTTTGAAGCCCCACGTTCCACCCCAAGAGACGTTCACAAAAACGGCGCTCCGGGGGGGAGGCAAACTAGTAGATCCAGAATGTGCCCAGGGGTTCCTAAAGTGCTACACATGGGGTTCTGGTGCTTCCGAGACACCAGGATCCTTGGGATGGTCGTGTGCACTTTGGAGAAAGCTCCTCGGTTGTGTTTTGTTTGCAAAGAGGGCATCGACCTGCACGTCCCCAGGGGAACCCTTCCCGGGAAAAGAAACACATCCTTGTGATTCAGCCACTGTGCCCCAGAAATGGGCACGTCGGAACCAGCAGGGAGAAGGGACTTGCGCTCAAACCACCGTCCTTGAGCCAAGGGGTCAAGGGGCTGGCTTAAGATCTCGGCAAATACCGGCCACTGGCTTTCAGACTCTCGGCCCCCACGGACAATCGAAACCTCCCCAACCCCCCCTTCCACATCACGCTCTGCTTCCCCCCACCGCTGGCCCGTCTTTCCAAGAGGTCTCCCTGACGGCCGCTCACCTGCCTGAACTGGCCCGAGTAAGTCTTGAACTTGTTGAACTGGGATTCGTCCTCTCGAAGGAATTCTTTGATCGACTGGATCAGCTGGATGTTCCGCTGCTGGAAGTTCTCCAGGATCAGGTAGGGGCCGCCCTGGCAAGGTCTGGGCCTGTTTCCAGGAGGGAGGAGAGGCAGAAGAGAACTGAGCTGTCCCGGGAGGTTTGCAAGATAAAGCCATTTGGGGAGGGTCCTCGCCCGAGAAGGGCATCACCGTGATCACAGTGGTGCGGTAAGTCCAGCTGCCCCAAACTCAGCTGCTCCTCCTATGGGTGCCAGGGCATGGGGCTAGTCCTCATGGGGAGGAGAGGGTGGGGGATGATGAAGCAGATTCACCCACCCTCTGTGAGGGCTGCTCACGATGGCCCAGGGGGGCGCTCTGCACTTTCTAACCACCTCGGGGGGGGCAGAGGGTGCAGGTGGTTCATTCAATCCCATTCCCCTCGGGTAAGAGAAGCAGTGGGCTAGGCTGGGCTAAGAGAGAGAATCTTGCCCTATGACCGGATGGGCATACCAGGGGAGGTTGGCATAATTTGGAAGAAAAAAAACAAAACAAAACAAAAAACACTGGCTTCCTGTCCCTTGAGCCCATTATCACGTGTCCTATTGTTACCCTTATTTACAGATGGTTTGTTTTTAAAATCCCACCCTTCAAGGGAACTCCCCAGTGTGGGGTACAAAAGGGGGGGGAAGGAGAGCCCCAAACCCATTCCGATACCCGCAGGCAGAAGGCCAGCTATGACACAAGGAAGAAAGCGAGGGAGGGAAGACCCAAGAGCCGCCTGCCTTGCAGGAAAAGCTACTTACTCTTTTACAGCCGCAGGGGCAGTTTCCGAGGCAGCGGTGGGTGGGATCGGAATGAAGCCGGGGGGTGGTTTACTGACAGGCGCCGACAGGCCCGGAGGTGGAGGAGCGCTGTTAAGCAGCACCACAGAATTGAAGCCTGGAAGAAAGTAGGGAACGACACAACGAGTCACTATTAGAACCCACAAAGATGCAGGAAGACTGGATCTTATCCGCTGCCCGGTTGCAGGGGGGGGGCCTTGCCTCCCTCTCTCTCTTATTCTTCTACACTGAGTCCTGTCCCACCCGCTGTAAAGCCTTCACCAACTAACGTGGCATAAAAGTTGGGCAAGCCTTCCGGGCAGGAGAACTAGGCTCGATTCCTGTTAAAAGATTGCAAGCCCGGGGAAGACCTTGGGCGGCCGTTTCCGGCTCGAGCGGATGGGACGTGGACAGATCAGCCCACGGTCTCAACTCTGTTATCAAGGAACCTTCATTTGATTTCCAGGGCTTGGGTTCCCTTCCTCCCTCATCCCTAAAGCCTGCACCAGAACCACCGTAAACTGCACAACAAGGGTATGGAGCCATGCCTTGGATCTACTGGAGAGGAACACTCTGCCAGGTGTGGCATTTTTAAAGGCTGGCATCCGGTTGAGAAATCCCATTTGGGGCAGAAGCGCTCTCCTCTGCCCCGTGACTAGCAAACCCAAAACAAACTCCACGAATTAAAAGAGGAGGCAGACTTGCCCCGTCTACTTTAAATGGAAATGGCTTGCAGGTTTTTAACAGTTTTAAGAGAATGCCAGCCAAGTCCTCCAGATAAAAGTCCCACACTTTCTGGATCCCGGCAGACGGCGGGGCCCTCTGCATTATTCCCACAGGGCCTGCAAGAAGCCCACAAAGGGGTACCAAGAAAGCCAAGTTTCCTGGCGCTGAACCTTGTCCAACCGCCTCTATGCCTTCCACCATTTCCCCTGACAGCACTCAAATGCTTTCAAAAGCATCTTTGCAGTTTTAATAAGTAGAAACTCCTTTGTTTTTGGTTTTTTTAAAAAATATTTCCCAGCTAAGGAAGCTGTGAAGGAGTTTCCAGTGCACCCATTCTGCGCTTCTTGCAAAAGTAACATCCTCACGCATTCACGAAGCTCGGGCTTTCCGCAGGGCAAAGCCTGAGGAAAGAAGCGGCGGCCTTTACTCACCTGGAGGCGGGGGCATCCGAGGGACTCCAGAATTCCCAAGGGCCGGGAAGTCTTCCTGAGGTAACAGAGACGGGCTGGCCAACGAGGTCTTCTTCAGGCCCGGCGGCTCTTTGGAAGGATTGCACGGAACCGGGGCCTTCTCGGCGTGACCGTTGACCACTGCTGCCGCTCGGTCTGGTGCATGGGGGTGGGCAGGGAGGCCGGGCGGGTGCTCGGCCTCCGGGGCCTTTTCGGCAGGAGGGGCGGGGGCCGCTGCCTCCCTCAGAACCGGCGACGACGCGGCCCGAGACTTCTCGGCCCCGACTTTCTTCTTCTTGCCCACTCTGACGAACCCTTGGGAGTTCGAGGCGGTCAGCAAGGAAGACACGTCAACCATGGTTGGGGTGCTGCGCACCTCCTGGGTGGTCACCCCTGAGCCGTCACCCTCGTCGTCCTCGTTGGGAAGGAAGGCCTTGGTCTTCTTGCCTCCTTTACCGATGTTGGCGGGGGGTGCTTTCCGGGCGGGCTGGCTGCCGCCGGTGGTGCTGCCGGCAATGGCTTTGGCCACATTTTTACTGGAGCCGCAGCTCCATGCCGATGAGAGGGTGGACGTGGCCTTGTTGCTAGGCTGGACTCTGGACACCAAGGCGGGGAAGTCCTCCTCCTGGAAAGCAGACCTTCTCGCCGGGGCTGCGTACGTCAAGGTCATGGCAGAAGACACCGCTGGCGCGCAGGAGGAGGAGGAGAGGCTGGGGAAGTCCTCCTCGTCCAGTTTCACCAAGACGGGCTGGGAAGCGCTGCCAAGGGGAACAGGGTGTTTAACAACCCACCGGGCGCAATCCGGCAACCCCAAGCATTCTGCCTGGGGTCCTGTTGTCATTGGCCACGTGGGGAAGTGGACTGGAAGCTGACAAGGCAGCCATCGCCTGCCTGCCGACTCCACGTACGAAACACCAACAGGGTACTGAACTTCACACAGATTCCCCCCCAACCCCCATCCCCGGGCATGCCATGAATGAAGGCACAAGGACCTCCAAGGGGGAAAATGTATTTCCAACCTCATGTTCCCGTGATGGCAGATCTGCACCTCTCATGTCCAAAATAAAAACTAAAAAAAATAAGACTGGGGGAAATTTTTAAAGGCCCTTTGAGCGGGGTGGAGATGGAGTTCACTTTCTGGTTTGTTTTGGGCCAAGGAAGTGTTCTTTAACCTGAGTTACCAGAAGCATGATCTTAAGAGGAAGCCCCGAGGCATAAACAGTCAGAGGCAACTGTAACCGAACAGGGAGTTTCTATCATGATCATGATTTTGAAGTTAACAAAAGGAGGGGGGGGTCAGGGGGCCCAGGGAGGGGGGGCGTGTCGACGCAGCCCCATTGACTCCTTCCTGGCTTCTAACGTGAAGGACTCACCTCTGCCCCAAGCCTGCTGCCGGGCAGCCGATGGCTGGGAAGTCGTCTGGGCTTAACATGGTCTTTGGAACAGCCTCTTTGGGAACTTGGGAGGAAGCAAAGAGAGACAGGTGTAACTGACCTCCCGAAGCCCTTCAAGAGCCGCCTTCTTGTGAGTCAAGCCCACCCCACTGGGGGAAACCCCCCTGCAGGAGGGCTCACCTGGGGCTTCAGCGGGCGGTTTTGGTCCGCGCTTGCAGGCGTTCAGGTCCAGCTCTTTTGCATCTTCCTTTTTCGCCCGGGCGCCCTCCTCCTTATCGTCCCCGTGCTTCTTCTCCTCTTGCCTCTTGGCTGCCACGGATGCTCGGACAGCCGCGGCAATATCTCGGTCTTCCTCTTCCCTGCAGGGTTTCCAAGCGGAACAGTAAGGACAAGTCAACAGAGGGCGAAGCTTTTTGGGGGGGGGACCCTCCCTGAAGGCGGGACAGGAACAATCTGCGAGAGCCGCTCCTCTTTGCCGCCGACAACATCAAGCGGAAAAGCTCTGAAAGGCTAGATTTAGCCCAAACACCCCCAAAACCGCAGAAGAAACCATTAAGCGACCGGCTTGCAAGAAGAACTTTGAGAGTGGCATGGCAGTACCGCGAGAGCCAGGCAGTAAAAAAAATAAGACTGGGGGAAATTTTTAAAGGCCCTTTGAGCGGGGTGGAGATGGAGTTCACTTTCTGGTTTGTTTTGGGCCAAGGAAGTGTTCTTTAACCTGAGTTACCAGAAGCATGATCTTAAGAGGAAGCCCCGAGGCATAAACAGTCAGAGGCAACTGTAACCGAACAGGGAGTTTCTATCATGATCATGATTTTGAAGTTAACAAAAGGAGGGGGGGCTCAGGGGGCCCAGGGAGGGGGGGGTTGTCGACGCAGCCCCATTGACTCCTTCCTGGCTTCTAACGTGAAGGACTCACCTCTGCCCCAAGCCTGCTGCCGGGCAGCCGATGGCTGGGAAGTCGTCTGGGCTTAACACGGTCTTTGGAACAGCCTCTTTGGGAACTTGGGAGGAAGCAAAGAGAGACAGGTGTAACTGACCTCCTGAAGCCCTTCAAGAGCCTTCTTCTCGTGAGTCAAGCCCACCACATCGGGGCAAAAACCCGCTGCAGGAGGGCTCACCGGGGGCTTCAGCGGGCGGTTTTGGTCCGCGCTTGCAGGCGTTCAGGTCCAGCTCTTTTGCATCTTCCTTTTTCGCCCGGGCGCCCTCCTCCTTATCGTCCCCGTGCTTCTTCTCCTCTTGCCTCTTGGCTGCCACGGATGCTCGGACAGCCGCGGCAATATCTCGGTCTTCCTCTTCCCTGCAGGGTTTCCAAGCGGAACAGTAAGGACAAGTCAACAGAGGGCGAAGCTTTTTGGGGGGGGGACCCTCCCTGAAGGCGGGACAGGAACAATCTGCGAGAGCCGCTCCTCTTTGCCGTCGACAACATCAAGCGGAAAAGCTCTGAAATGCTAGATTTAGCCCAAACACCCCCAAAACTGCAGAAGAAACCATTAAGCGACCGACTTGCAAGAAGAACTTTGAGAGTGGCATGGCAGTACCGCGAGAGCCAGGCAGATGAGGACCGGAACTGCTGCCACCCAGAATGAGAATCGGTGAGCAAGCCAAGCATCCTCGTCTCTTTAGGCTGCCACAAGAGGGCAACCCTTTTGCAACGGCTGTGGCCTGCCCGGACCTTGTCCCAAAGGTTAACGCTATCGTGCTGGGTTGTCCTGGCTGAGAACGCACAATGCATTACATTTGCTTTTCAGACAACACAGACAAAAGGGGGTCTGCTAAAAAAACTGGGGTGGCCCCTCCAGCACCTCTAAACCAGAAGCTGCCTGGTCCTGCTAACTGCCGGCAGAGGCTACATTCCAGAGGGGCTGGACCCTGGCATGAGGCTCGGCTCGGTCTCCCTGAATGCCTCCACAGCTGTTAACCAGGGGCCATTAACCAAGCAGCCAGACCACGGCTGGAAGCAGGACCAGCCCTTCTTCTTCTCCTCCTCCTCCTTCTCCAGCAGGCCTTTCGTACCACGCTTTGAGGGAGGCATATTCAAAAGAGAGAGCAGAATTCTGCCTATCAGATTTTTACTAGTTTCCAGGTTTCTTTACGTGCTATGAGGACACATTCAGCGCAGGCGTAAATAAAAACAAACCCAAAGGTGTTAAAGACTTTACACTGGCCTTCCTTTCCGGACCTGAATCTCTGTTTTGTTTTGTTTTTTTTTAACTCGGCGCGGTGGTGGCCCAACTCCGGAAGCCAGTTCCGATCCTTGAACTCAGCGGCTGTCCCATGGGGCCATTCCCCCCAGTCGACCTTCCCACTCGCAAGCGGGTTCCGATGATCCCAGACCCCCAGCTCCAGGCCCTTCCAAGCCCAGAGACACCCCCAGGCCCCCCCCGAAGGCAACCTGTGCCCTCTGACCTTTTGTATCTCCAGCTGCCTCTCCTGTTCTGCTGTCCGCCGCGCGGCCCGGCCCGGCCTCCTCTCCCCTGCCGGTTGTACCTGTCAACCTCTTCGTAGTCTTCACCACTCACAACACCTGTGGAGGGAGAGAGGGGGAATGGAATCAGAAGACATTGCAGAGCAATCTCCCTCCCCTCCTGTTATAGCCCAATGCTCCTCTGGCTCCCTGTGTTGCTATCCTGACCGTTTACAGGCCAATCAAGCCAAGGACTCCGAACCCAGTCTCCTGACAGAGAAAGCCAAGATTGCTCTGCTGTCCCCACTGAGCTGCATCTCCAGGTCTCCTTCTATGCAGATGAGGAGCACCTACTCCGAAGCCCTGTGAGGGTCCTACATCTAGAAACTAGATCCGTCCCTAACCTTAGAATGGTTTGGTATGTTAGCGAAACAGGCAGGAGGCTGTTCTTTCTAGCCCGGCGTACCCTCGTTTCTCCGCTGGTGCCTCGGCGCATAGTTGAACTGCAGGTCGATCTGCCGGTTCTGCCTGGCCTCCGCCCGGTTCTTGCTGTGATAGGCCGTCTTGTGGGCTTTGTAGTCGATTTCCGTCCGGAAGGCGTGGGTGAACTGCTCGCTGCTGCACCGGCCCTCTTCGCACAGGAAGTGCTTTTCCCGGAAATGCTCTCGGAGGTATTCGTAATCACTGCAGCGGGGCAGAGGGAGAGCGTGCTCACTCACCGGGGAATTCGGTTCCGTTTGTGGAGGCAAAGGGGAAGGTGTGTGTGGGGGGGGACAGAGACACGCCAAAACATGGCTGGGGAGGAGACGGTTCCCGAGCTTCTTTTCAGCACCGATGGCTCCTGCCTTGGGGGAAGGTTTAAGAGAGCTGGGCGTTTGGCGTGGAGAAGGGAAGACCGAGAGGCGACGGGAAAGCCACCTGGACCCGCCTGAAGGGCGATCCCGTGGGAGAGGGAGGAAACCCGTGCCCTGCTGTCCCAGGGGAAGGAGCCAAGCAAAGGGTCAGCGGGGTGTCAGTCCAAGGAACAGGGTCTGTTGGTAGGCCAGTGGCCTCAGGAATCAGACACAAGGCGACTGGGCGCCAATCCCCATGACGTAAGGGAGACGGGGCTGGGTTCACCCACCTGTAATACTCCTGCGCCCCCTCGGAATCACAGAAGTGGCAAAAATAGTGGTCTCTCCTAAGGTGTTTCAGTAACTCGTCATTATCCAAATACCGCTCGTCACAAAATTTGCACAGGGGATGGCCCCGGTGAGAGGTGTCGTCGGGATCCCCGTGGATCCTGTGCCTGGCGAGGTCCTTGCGGGTGTACCATTTGCGCTCGTAGGTGAAAATCTGGAATGGAAGGAGGCAGACCCGTCACTCCCTTGGCAAACAGAAACGGTCGCCTTGATGTGGGAGGGCTCTTCAGGGGCCCCCCTTTCTTCTCTCCCCCCCCGCGCGCTTTCTCCTAAAGCGCCTGGCAGGGTCACTTGCCTTCAGGTGCTTCACGCAGAGCCTGCAGCAGAAAAGCTCGTGCTGCTTCCTCATGTGCTGCTCCAGTTCTGCCACGGTGGCAAACGGCCTGGCCTCTGGGCACAGCGGGCACTCATGCTGCAAAAGCTTCCTAGGATAAAGGGGGGGGGAACAAGGATCTGGATCACAACTGTAGCCTGCAGGATGCCCTTCCTTAATACATTCCTTCTCAACACAGGGAAGCACAGCAATTTCTCACTGCGTTGACGACTTCGATTGCATTATCCCAGAGACTAGAATGAGAGTCAGTGTATAAAAGCAACCTCAGCACCGCAAAAGGGCCTCGAACGGCCACGTACACGTTCACTGGCCAGGACTGTATGAACTTGGGACTATCTCAATGTGCACATGCAAGATTTTCCAAAAGCAACATGGATTGGCATCTGCTTATTTATGGCGTTGGCACCAAAAAGCTGCCTCCTTCCCAGAGCTGAGGAAGGCGAGCGCTTTGGCCTCCCCCCCCCCCAGCCTCCTTCCCAAAAAGCATGGCCAATGGCGAGAGGGATTCTGGAATCACAACCTCAAAAGGGCAACTTTCCCAAACGCTGCTCCCGACAGCCGGCGTGTTGCTCAGCTTCTGAGATTTCCTGCGCGCTGGCGACGCCTTTCCCTCTAAGCACACCTTTCTGCCTTGGTTGGATTCCTTCGCCACACAGGCCCGGGGGGGGGGGCTTGCGGGCCAGGGCTCCGGTGATCCAGGCGGTCTCTGCTAATCTGAAGGCCACACCCTGTTGCCACCCGTCCTGGCACACGGCTGGTGGCGGGCTCAGCGCCTTCTCTTGCCAGACACTTTTTCCCAGCCGACCCGAGGAGGGGAGGTACAAAAGGGTTCCTTACCTATACAGAGCATAAACTTTTCCGTCAGTAAAATAGATGTCGTATTTCTTCTCATGCTGCAACTGGCTGAGCGCTATTGATGAAAAGGACGTCAACTTCCTCCCAAAGACCACCTGCGTGGGACACAAGGAGAAGGGTCAGGGGAGCAGGCGTGGCTGGGACTGCCGCAGCATAGAGAGGGGTGCTCTGTGGCCCTAGTGCTGAAAGAGCAGTGGAAACTCCGAGGAGAAGTCCTGGGGAGAGAAACAGGCAGCAGACAAGAGGCCCTGTGGATGGAGCGCAGGAGGATGAAGGCGGGAGACCCAGACGGAAGCCGTGGGTCCCCACCTTGGGTAACCCTGGTGTCCTTGGACTGCAATTCCCAGAAGCCTTCGCCACCAACTGTGCCGGCCATGGTTTCTGGGAGATGCAGTTGAAGAACGCCGGGGTGACCCAAGGTGGGGAACCACTGCTCTAGACTAACCCTCTGCTTCTCTCTGCCCCAACCCACTTAAGAGGGACTGCAAGAGAGGGAAATGGGGCAGGGGAAGTGACATCATCACCAAGCCCCTGGGAGCAGAGTGCGGGAGAAACCCGGCAAGAACAGAACTCGTCGTTTTGAGCATTGCTTGGGTCCTTGCCAAATGCCGTTACTCAGCTCTGCGAGGTTCCAAAGGGCTCTGTGGCGGCACAGGGCAACCCACGTGCAGGTCACCGAGACCAGAGAGAAGAATCAATCGCTCTTCCCAGGCAAGTGATGGAAATCAAGAGGCCTTTGACCCTCAGGAACTCCAGCGGGCACAGCCGACAGCCGGGCATCCTGGGGGCTGGCGCTGAAACCACAGGACGAGAACAATTCGTTTCAGCTCTCTGCACCGAGAGGAGAACCTCTGGCTGTATATTCAAAGCAAGAGGCAGGGCATCTTCCCGGGAGTGGCCAAATGGCTGAGCCAGGGAGGAAAGGCTGCAGAAAAGGCTGGGGCCAGGATACAAATCAAGTCGGACATCATCAGAGGGATCCTCTTTTAAAGGATCGTTATTGGCAAGCCACCTGGATGACCCCAAAAGTTGGGTTAGCCACAGCAGAGTTACTCGTTCTATCCTTCAGTAACACCCTGGATTTGAGGTAGGGGAAGAAGCCAGAGTAGTTTAGATTTGCTGCAGTGGTTTCCACCATTCTGAAGGGCTGAAAAGTCTGCACAGAGACAATCCAGCAGGTCCCACTCAGCTTATCAGAAGGTTCACAAGAGATTGGTAGGCTGTTCACTCCTCCTCGAGGGAGTGTCGCCGTCTTGCTGCCCCTGTTGAGTCACACACTACGCACAACGAAGGGCCCCTGGCTAGTGACACCCTGTTCCCAGAAAAAGTGGAATGCACCATCTAATGAGGCACAAGGGAAACCCAGGGGAGGGAAGTGTACTTCTGCAGGGGAAGTGCAGAAATGATGCACTGCCCTCCCAATCCACAACAGAAGATTCAGTCTGAGAAGAGAGGTGGTTCCTCTGGATCATGACCCTCGCATAAATGTACTGTTCCACCAGGGACAGATGTTGCTTGTCCCTGGACTGAAGCCACGCAGAGCAAGCACAACAGCTACCGTTTGGGGACGACAGCAACACATGGGGGGGGGGAAGATTCCCTGCTTTTATTATGCATTTGTTCACAATTCCTCTTTCCATTCACTGATACTGGCAGGTCCAGGAAGAGTCGGAACCAACCCAGAGACATCAAGATGAAACGGGCATTTCTGACGGCTCCTGTTTCCAGACAGGATCTTCTTCTATCTGTGCTTTTCCATAAGGAAGATCCGTCATCTTCGTTTGCTCCCCAGTACAGGAAAGGTGGGGAATCTCCTTCCAGGTGTTGTTGAGCCCCTATTCCCATCAGCACCAGTTTGGGATTTTTACCAGGGGGTGGAGGGTTGCGTGAAAGAAATGGACAGAGCAAGAGCGACATTTCTCCCTCTCTCGTAACATCGAAACCCTGGGTTGTCTGCTGAAGCAGTATGATGGTGGGACCAAAGGCAGACAGAGGGAGAGATGTCTTCCAAGGGGGCTTCACAATCACACTGCAAAATTTGCAATGGCAAGACGTTGTGATGGTTGCCAACTTGTCCAGCTTGCAAGAAGGATTAGACAAATTCAAGGAGGAGAATTAAAGCTATGGCAGGCAGGCAGGCTATTCCTGCCAGACAGCGGCCTCCAGGAGGGAGGGGAGGAGGCTTCCCTATACCAGTTGTTCTTGGGGGAAAGAATAAGGGCAGGGGTGCTCATGGAAGCCCAGGTTCCTCGGTGGGTTTGGTCTAGCCCTCCCTCCGATGCAATTGAGCACCGTTTTCCTCGTTCTGAAAGGGGTGGATTAGCCAGAGGAGGAAAGATACCGATCTAGATAGACCATTGATTGAACCCAGAGCAAAGATGCTTCCTCTGTTAATAAAAGTCAGGAGAGGACCACAGCTCATCGGCTGCTTTGGGTGCCAAAGGTCCACACTTCAACCCCAGGTATTTCCAGTTCCAGCTGGAAAAAATCCCAGACGGAAACCTCAGAGATCTTTAGGGACGACCGGACCAGGCGGATTAGTAATCGGACTCTGTAGAAGGCATCTTCTACGTCCTGGGGAAGGCTGCTGGTGGCATGTTTTCCTCATTCCCTCTCTCTTATCTGCTAGCAAGGAAACATCGACAATGGACAGGAGACACCGATCTAAATACCTTTAATCTCCCCCCCCCCGAGAATGGTGCCGTCACCTCCAGAAGAGTGAGAAACCAAACAGGCTTTACTGCCAAGAGGAGTTTGTCTTGAATGAGAAGGTGTTGAATAATCCAACAGGGTGAGTCTCCACCGCCACCGTTTACACACCGTAAACAACCAGTTTTGGTGAATCACCTGCCATTCGCAGCCACTCACTCCACACCACTTAAAAGTGCTGTGCTTTAGACTCGGTTCCTAGAAGAACGAGCAATGCCGACAGAGGCGCTTTTTTGGGTGACGTCGTCATTAAAAGAGATAACGAAACAGCTTCCGTGAGGTCAGGCCTCATGTTACAGACACTCAAGGGCCGGCATCGGCCGAAGAAGGCTCCTTCCTGTATGTAGGGCATCTACGTGGACAGGCTTGTGGGAGAACCACTCCCTCCTGCCACAGGGCAGTGCCCTCCTCTTCGGAATCTCACAAATTATTTTTATCCCACACTTCCTCAAGGCAGCAATCAAGCATGGGAGGTAAGGGAGCCCGTGAGTTTTTTTCCGGCCGGCTAATAACCTAGGATCCATGATTTCTCAGTCCTGCTCTGATACATTAGCGTGGCAGCTGTCACCGAGGGCTCCATCCATGAGTTATAAAAACCCCAAACTGCAGTGTTTAATCTACTGACACAGCACTTCATTCAGCTACAGCGATGACCGCCTTACTCAGCAGGCTTGTATGATAAAACCAAAACCCCAAAAGGTTTCAATGTCAATCCAAAACGGTGATTGAATTTACAGACAACAAATATCATCTCTTTGCTTTCACAAACAGAAAGGATGTCACCTCTATGAGGATACTCTTAAAATAATGACACACGTACACTATTGGAAAGAGCTACATGTGACATCTTTGCTACATGTGACAGCCCTAAAGCAGCAGCTACTAAAATGCTGATTTCCGCCTCGGACCTTTGCTATCAGCTACGCGAAGCATCGTCTAGGGCTGGAGGTGTCCTTTAAGCTCGCCAAGTCCACCTCCGAAATCTTTCCCAGGATCTGCAATGCAGAAGGCAGCGCTCAGCATCCCTGACGGATTGACCTCCAACCAAGGAGAGCCCATCATCTTCAGCAGCAGTCAGTTGCACTGCCCAAGGGGCACGCCAGGGCATTTCGCTGAATGCTGGGGTGAAATAGGCATCCTTCCCTCTATGGCCACGGGTTCTAATCCTTCTCTCCGAAGCAGAACAGAATAAGCCTGATTCATCTTCTGCATGACATCCCACCAGGCTTCAGAAGACCACCGTTTCATCTCCTTTCAATCTTCTCCCCCAGTTCTTTCAAACAACCCTCAATACGACACGACTTTCTAGGATCCCCTACCTCTTCCACTGCCTTCCTTTCAACATGCTCCATTTTGCTTACAACTCTTCTGGAAATACTGCACACAGATCTGGACAGAATATTCCCCAAGCCGCCTGGCCAGCGAGTGCAAAACAAAACAGAAATCTTACTTCTTGTAATAAGACACGCCGTGCTTCCATTAATACGTCCTTTTGTAAAATCCAGCCACTTTTGTTACTTTAATTGCATTTCAACTCTACGGAGAATATGGGCAAGTCCACACTAAAGGTGTGTCTCGCCCAGCAAACGTCTGCCAACCTGTTTTTAAAAACCAATTTCACAGCCACGAGGAGGAAAAGGAATCTTGTACACTTTCAAAGAAGGGCTATTGCCATCAGGGGAGCTTTCTTCCACCTCTGCGCATGCAAGATCACAGCTCAAGATGCAGGCCGTTCTATCTGGGGTTGCAACTGCCCCTTGATGGTCTGACTGGTCATTCCGTTCACCCAACAAGGGAAATGAACGGGCTCAATGTCATCCACCCTGGATGCACAAAACACCTCCCGTTAACCTTGGAGGAGCCCTGCCGGCCGACCCCATCGACCACGGCACTGGATTTCCAGCGCTTGCTGGCAGAATGCTCCCAGGATACTTGGCGACACCAGGCGCTTTGCTGTGGCTTCTTCCCAAGGCCACCATCCTGCACATATTTACTTGGGAGCAGGCCGCAACAGAGCGGTGTTTACTTACTCCCCCTCCCCCCCAAGATTTGGCACAGAGAGAACTAGGATCTAAAGGCAGCCTGATGTACTCAAAATAAGTAAGGAGTGAGATGGCCTTGCTTTTTTTCCCCCCACCTGTGACGGCAATTCCTCAGAATCTCTCAGGCGGTAACCAGAGCTCAGCCACGTCACTCTTTCGACTGGACTCCAATTCCCAGCATCCCCCAGAGCCACCGCAAGGGCCTGGAATGGTTCCCTTTCCTTATTTTCGCCTGTTACTTAAGATATTTTCAGCCTGCCTTTCGCCTTAAAAAAAGGCCCCAAGGAAACACTGAAAACCCAAAAACCCGTAAGTGAACAAATGTTTTAAAAAGAATTAAACAGGCATTATGTTAAAAAATGGAA